CCTTCCTCTCTGTAAAACATCAATAAAATATATTATTAAAAAAAAAAAAGAATTGCAAGATGACAAGAGCAGAGCGTTACACCAAGTGTGGGGCCGTGTGAGCATGCAGCCCCATGCCGGTGCCCAGGCTGCGGGTCCAGGAAGCTGGCTCTCACTGGTCTGTAGATCGCAGTTCAGCCCGGCTGGGCAGGGAGTTCGGGAAGGGGAAGTTGTATCCCTCTGATCTGTACCCATTGCCCCCTCCCAGGAAGTACTGGAGAAAGGTCACGGAGGTAGGATGTAACAATAGATTTTACCCATCAAGCACCAAAAATGGAACAGGTACTTTGGTTGGCTATTTTATATCATCCTCAGAATGGAGAACTTCCCAGTTAACACAGAGGAAGCAGGTCCATCCCGGGAGACACGGGCTCCTCTGGCGGCTCCAGACTGCCGTGGCCTTGCTGGGCTTTCTTAGAACCACACTGAAGACTCCCGCCCTTCTTCCCCCCAGCCTCCTCCGGCTCCTCCTTATTTCCCTCCCTGGCATTTCCCCCAGTGAATTTCCCATACATTTCATCTCCTGTTGGCTGAGGACCTGGGCTGACATACTTTTCCATCACAGACGGGGGAAAAAGGGTGTGTGGCTTCCAGGCAGGTAATCAGCATAAGTGAGGCGTGGAGTGGGAGAGCCCAGGTGTGCTCACACCTCGGGGGGGGGGGGGGGGGGGGGAAGGGGGAGAGGATTGGCCTGTCCTGAGCGGGCACTGAACCCCCCTGCTCTGGCCCATGGGAGAAAGTACTCTGTCACTTTGGCTAAGTCACTGAGCCTCTCTGGGCCTCGGTTTTACCATCTGGACATGGGGAAGAATAATAATATTCCTCTTATGGGGTCTTGGGCAGATTGGATGGGTTAATATGCAAAAGGGTTTCAAACGGCCTAAGTTACCACCTAAGTTAGAGCTGCAATAAAAATAAAAATTTTTTAAAAAAAACCATATTGAAAACTGCCCCTCCCTGAACTAGTTTTCAGCCGTGTAGGAGGCAGCACACACAATATTTTCCATTCCTGACACAATGTGTTTGTGGCCTTTCGGATGCAGATGCGAACCAGCCCTGGTTCCTGGAAGCGAGGAGCCGGCTGGTGGGAAGGGCTGCCCTCTCCCCGTCAAAGCCCCCACGTCCTGAAGGAGTTGGGTCTTGACATTGCCCTCCTGACCCGGCCAGATAAGGAAGTGGAGGTCTGGCAGGATCGGGGAGCTGGCCAGATGTCTTATCTCTACCGGACAGTGAACATCTGGACACACCGAAACTCCCTCAGGGAAGGTCCGGATAACCGGCCTCAGGGGGCAGCCCCTCGCACAACTGGACAGAAAAGGGACTTTCCAGACCTGCGGCTTCACTTCCCTCACCTCCCTGAGGAGCCTAAGGTGTGCCCATTGCACAGAGGAGGTAAGGCAGTGTGCTTAGGGTCATGTGGCAAACGAGGGGCGATGTTGGGGTTTGAATTCTCCAGCTTTTCACCATGGCGTGGGCTTGAGATCGTTGTCACTGGTCTTCATTCCTGAGGCGGTCCCAGTCCTGCCCCAGGCAGGGCCCTGTCAATCTCATGGGCCAATCATGGGTCAGGGCAGATTGGAGTCTCTGCTACTTTCCAGAGCCTGCCTGTTCCTGCAAGATGCCGGAGCCAAGAGAGCTGGGTGCCCCATTCGCCTGATCAATGTAGAAAGCCTGAACTCTTAAAAAAAATCAAAAATAATAAAATGAAGCAACATTTTTGAATGATCACCATGGACTGGTACTGAGAGGCATTTCAGATGCACTAATGATTACCTCACATAGTCATAGCCCCAGCCACAGCCATGACTGGAAGGTCATCTTAGTTAAGGATGCGTTGGCTGCATGTACTAGTAAGAGAAAATCTGACTCATGGTGCCTTGACTTGGTTATCGCATTAAACAAGAAGTCTAGAGGTAGGTGGTTCCAGGAAGGAACCACCTACCTCTAGACTTCTACAGCTCTAGTTGGCCATTCTACAGCTCTAGTTGGCCATTCTCCTTGCTTTTCCTCCTAATCCTCCCACCAGCACATCTTCACAGCACAGCACCCAACAGAGAGGAGGCAAATAAGGAGGGAAAAGCACCCTCCCCCGCCCCCCCACCACTCCTGGCCCAATCCCTAACAAAGAGGGATTTTCTGGCTCCCTCAGACCAATGGTGGTTTATTTCCTGGGAGGGGGATGGGACCACTTTTCTAAACACCTGATTCCTGAGCAAAATCCGGTTCTGTTAGCAAGGACAGGCCAGGGCTCCCTAAAACGTCCTCTCATTGGTGTTTGAGCAGCTGGTCTCCTTCCCTGGGGGAGTTTTGCCTCTGGGTTAAGTGTGGGGGTGGGGTGAGGATGGGGGGAAGGGCCTGCTATTTGGGACCCTGGTCTACACAGAAGCCAGGGGTGTGGGAAAGAAGAGCCAACATTTATTAAGCACCTACAGTGTGCCAGGTCCCGGACTGTGTGACTTCATTCTCTCACATTCACTTCAGTCCTCACCACAGTCCTGAAACACCCCAGTTTTTCAGGTGAGAAAGCTGAGACCAGGCCTGGTTCACACCTAAAGGGAGGGTCCGAACTGGCATGAGCTCTGACAGCAGTTACCTGTCACTACAGCTCACCGTGAGCCCTGCACTGACAGCTAGCTGCTCCACCTGCATTAGGCCATTCACTCTTAATCCCCTCTCCTCTCCATTCCACCGCGGAGGCCCGGAGGCCCGGGGGGGTGGGGTGCAGACTGCTGAGCTGGGCTGTGAACCCCACTGCCAGGAGGTCGCCCCTGGGGCCCACATTTGAAGAAAACCTCCAGGCCTGTGCTGTGGCCTTTTTAGGAGTGCTGGCTTCCCCGGCAGACAAGCTAGATAAACAAACAAGAGGCTCCGGAAACTCCTTCTCCTTTTGATGTCCCGAATCCACGGAGGATTCACATGAGAGTCATCCAGCCGCCTTGACAGCCAACATTAAGCAGGCAAATAAACGCATCCTTATTGCGATAGCAGGGAATGTTAAGCACAGGGAAATAAAAAAAACCCACACATGTGAAGGCAATAGAGAGTGACGATGGGACTTATTTGGACCAGATGGTCACGGAGGGCTTCTCTGAGGTGGTGACAAGCCAGCAGAGGCAGAGGAATGAGGGATGTAATGGAAAGAGCCAGCTGTGCAAGCCTCCAACAGAAGAGCATTCAGGCAGCATGGAGAGCAAGTGCAAATGCCCTGCGGTGGGCATGAGTTGGGCATGCTGGGGAAGGATGAGAGATGAGTGTGGCTGGAGCAGAGTGGGTGCGGGTGATTGGGGGGCGGGGAGGCACATGATGTCAGGGAGGTAAGATGAGAGGATTCAGATCATATCGGTCCTTGTGGGGCCTTGTAGGGCTGTGCTCTTGTTGCAGTGTACCCCCGTTTTACAAAGGACGCCTCAAGAAGTCGATTTATGCAGTCATTTATTAAAAGCCGATGGCATACGAGGGAGCAAAAGCGCTCCAGACCTCGCAGCCCGGAACAGCTTGCCACAGCTGGCTTACACTGGCAGAAAGTCACAAAGGTATCGATTAGATCTTTGGGTCTGGAATGAGGAACCTGTTTTGAGAAAAGCATTTTTACAGAGGCGAGTTTGAGCCAGTTGGTTATCTAAAGTATCTACAAATCACTGAATCGACAGAAACACATTATCTGGGACCACGGGGACAAGGTAGAGCTGTCCTGGTTCCCAAAAGGACCGGTGACCAGTGAGATCACAATCAATAGGGTGTTCAAACCATCATCAATGGAGGATTGGGATAGCACACACAAGTTCAGAAAATCAAAATAGCTTTCTATTGTTTTAGCAAACAAGTAAGTACAGAAGCCAAACAGCAGTTTCTACCCGAGATGATTGCTGCTACACTTCACGCTGACAGGTGGAGCCTGGGAGGGTTCTGAGTGGGATTCAGCGACAGGATCTGCCTTAGGTTCTAGCGGGGACCTTCTCACCACCGCGGGGCGAATGGAATGTGGAAAGATGGGCGCTGAAGCCAGAAGGCTGGGGAGGGTTACAGCTGCTCAGAGGGCTGCGGCCAAGAAGAAATGAAACCTGCCTCAATTCACCCAGCCGTGAATCAGGCCTCTGGTCCTACTCCCCACTCCACCCAGCCTCACCTATGCCAAGCTTTCCGTGTTTACACCTCCCTGCCACTGAGCAGCTCTCCCTTCCTCATTCAGCCTTTGAGTAAGGTAACTGGGCAAGGATTGAGGGTGAAAGGGGGGGCCTGCGGGTGCAGGGAGTGGTGGGCCTGCAGCAAATCTGGAGTGAAGCCAGCACCCTCTCTCCCCGCCCCCCCTCCCCGCAAACCCAGTTTTTACCAGCACACAGGGGTGGGCTCCTGCTGAGCCGCCTGCACCTGGAGGCTGGCCCCTTAACCACCGGGGAACCCTGAGAGGGACCGCCACACCCTGAGCCCCTGCGCGGCCCCAGGTCCAGTCTGGGTGCTTTGCCCTCGGGGGTCTGTCCCTGTCAGCAGGGGAGGCCTGGGACTCCCAGCCCGGCTCCCAGGAGCTCTGCGGGGGTGGGGGGGCATCCCTCACCGCCTGGAGTTAGGCAGGTGACACCCGGCGGGTAGGGTCCTGCCAGCCCCGCCCACACGCAGAAATCAAGGTCTCCCACCCCAGCCTGGGGGAGGGGGCGGGCGGAGGCGGTTTAGCGGAATGTGATGGAGGCCCCTCCTCCCCTCCTCCCCTTTTTCCCTCCTCCCCTCCCCCGCCCATCCTCCCTCCCCCACCCCCATGTGCCCACCCCCTTCCTCCCGCATATAGTCTCTCCCTCCGCGCACAGCCTCTCTTTTCCATCTCCCCTCCGCCCACCACGCCCCCTCCCTCCTCTCCGGCCGCAGCGCCCCTTCCCTCCATCCACACTTTCCACTCCCCCCTTTCCCGGCCCCGGTGGGCCCCGAGCGGCCCGCACCCCGTGCGGCCCCGGGCGGGCGCCGGCCGGGCCATGTCCTGGGCCGTCCTGCTCGGCCTGCTGGCCGCGCTGCTGCTGCTGCTGCTGCTGACCCGCCGGCGCACGCGGTGAGTACCCGCCGGCCCCGGCCCCGGCCCAGCCCCCGGCCCGCCAGACAAAGGGGCGCCCGCGCCGGCCCGGCTGCAGCTGGGGGGCGCGGAGCCCCCGCCCCAGTGCCCACTGCCGCCCTCACCCCCCGGGCGAGCCTCCCGGAGGTGGGCTCCCGCGCTTCTCCACGGGCCTATCCGCCCCCGCCAAGAAAGCGCAGGAAAGTGTGGGGACCCGGCTGGGACCTGCGGGTGGGAGCGGGGGAGGGAGTAGGGAGGTTCCAGGTGGGGACCGAGGTCTCCGGTGAGGGAGGGTGCGTGAACGGGCTGGTGTGGCTCCATCTCCCGCTCTCCCGCTGCCGCCTGGGTCCAGCACCTTCTTGGGGTGAACCCCAGCTCCGCTCTCTGCAGGCCTGTGGGCCAGCCTTCTCATCTCCATCACCGATGGGAGAACTGGGGCTGCGGGAGGCAGAGGCCCCGGGGATGCCCTCTGACCAGCCCCTAGACCACCAGCCACAGGATTCACAGGAGGGGCTGTTAGGCTGGGTACTTCCCTCTGCCCCTGAGGTCCCATAGCCATGGCCTGGGCAGGTAGAAGCAAGGTAAAATGTCGTCGCATTGAGAATCTGCAGTTTAAGAGGAAAAGTAAAACTCATACAGTTGCACTTCAAATCAGGGAGAAGGCAGTAGGTCTCTTCCTTTCTCTAAAACGTTTTCAACGTTAATTTGAATTACACAAGGAATAGCTGAATGCCTTTGCCTTAAAATAAATACTAAGCTAGGGATAAGCCCTTACCACCCTTCCGACAATTCTGGCCCTCTTTCTTCGGATCCGATTGGGGCAACCTTCCGGATTTTTTGAGAGTCCACTGTTGATTTTAGACTAGTTACAGAAAAGTTGCAAAGGGAGGACAAAGCATTCTCAAAACGCCCCTCACCCAGTTTCCGCTCCTGTTAAAGAGTTTTCATTATGATGTATATTTGTCAAAACTAAAAGCCAACTCTGGTCTGTTAGGACTAACCAAACTGCAGGCTTTATTTGAATCTCATCAGTTTTTCCATGAATGTCTTCTTTCTATTCCAAGAGCTAATCCAGGGAGTCATATCTCTCCCGTCTCCTTCCTCCACTGTTTTTACAATTACTCTCTCACACATGGACGGGAACCTGGAAACAATACAGGCAGTGTAAGTGCTTGCATGCGTGTGTGTGTGTGTGTGTGTGTGTGTGTGTGTGTGTGTGTGTTTAAACCAAAGTGTCTGAAAGTTTCAGAAATTTTTCCGGAAACTTTTTATTTTTAAACAGTATGTTAGTTGAATTTCCAAAGAGTAAGTTCACAATGTTTTTCTTCAACAACCATCCGCCTTTTCAGGCGAAATTGAAAACCATGTGTGCAGTCATTGGCCTGGGAAGAAAAAGACACAAATCAATTTCCCGGCCATGAAATGAGTTATTTTCCCCGAGTTGTCAGGCTTTCTGGAGACTCCACGTAGAGGTGTTTTCAGACTTGATGTTGGCTTTTCCCGCTCCAGATTTTAGTTGTGACATCCCTCCACACTGCTATGTGGAGATCTAATTCGTTCTTTTGTTTTTCGGTAGAGGCCTTCCAGGGTAGGAATAGTGTCAGGCTTCTTTGCCTTTTCATTCCTGTCCCTAGGGATGGAGTTTTAGGTTGTTTCCAGTGCTTTTGCTGTTTCAGACAATGTGCTGTGGTTTTCCTGAGGAGCCTCCCGGTCTGTGCTTTTCTCTGGGACGATGGGGGGCAGCCATATAAATACATGGGAATTGCCTGGCCGGCGTGGCTCAGGGATTGAGCATTGACTTAGGAAACAGGAGGTCACGGGTTCGATTCCCAGTCAAGGCACATGCCCAAGTTGTGGGCTCAATCCCCGGTGGGGACTGTGCAGGAGGCAACTGATCAATGACTCTCTCATCATTGATGTTTCCCTCTCTCCCTCCCCCTTCCTCTCTGATATCAATAAAAATATATTTAAATACATGGAGTCTGGGTGGCAGGGTGCTCAGTGCCCCAGGTGCACAGCATATGGACATTTTCAGCTTCTAGGAATAAGAACACGTTGAACAGCCACTCTGCCTCAGTTTCCCAATCTTTAAAGTGGAGATGATGATCGTAGCTGAGAGTGGGATTGCTGGGTTAGCGGGAATGCCAATGAAACATTATTTTAGTTGATTCTTGCTAAATCCAGAGAGCTAATTTATCTTTGAAGGTAAGTTGCTCACTTTTATAGCTATGGTGGCTTAGGAGGTTCAATAGTGGGTACTGGGGGAAAGTATGGTATGGGGGTCACTGACAGCTGGAAGACAGTTGCATGGACCTATGCATGGGGACCCCAGTTTTAAGCCTCCAAACTCACTTCCTCCTCCCAAATTGGTGAGGGGCACTCTTGTTACCCCCATTTTACAGAAGAGGAAACTGGCGCTCAGAGAGGCCAAGCAACTTGCCCAAGGTCTGCCTGGATTAAAAATCGGGACTGTATGAAAGTTTAATTCCCAGGAAAAATGAAAGCTCACTCTTTGCATACATTGTATTTGTGATCTGAATGCTTCAAAGTCTTAGAACCACACGATGTTATGATAGTGAGAGACACAGCTTCGACCAGAAGATGCTTAAGAAAGCACAAGTAACCACGTGTTCGGTAAAGAGGCAGATAGGCTGGTGCTGGTAGACGGTGATCTAACACTTAGGTCAAAACAGGCCCTGCCGTTCACTCCCTTGGCTCCTTCCTCCTCCTGACTGCCCCTCTCGGTAATGCCATAACCCCACCTCACAGCCCAGGCTTAGAAAGGGCAAGCGACCTCATATTCCGAAGTTAGCCGCTTCCAGCGTGTATGCTTTTCCCAGTAAAAAGCACTACAGTCAGTCAGCAATTGTCTTTACCTGTGGCTTTGTTCTTTAAAAAATTTTTAAAAATTACTTATGAAAAATTTCAACTATACAGAAAAATAGAAAGCATAGTATAAGAACCCGCCTGTACCCATCACCTGGATATACACTGAGTGGCCAGATTAGTATGATCTCTGAACGCATAATAATCTGGCCACTCAGTGTATTTGTATCTCAAACGGGTACCAAAAGTATTCTAGACTTTTGCTGGAGATCAATCACCTATTTGCCCTGAGCTTTTTATCAGCCAGTGCAAAGGGGAAAACTGACCAGGTGCACAATTTATAGTATCTTTGATATCAAATAAATGAGGTACTCAAGAGAAGTACACTGAGTGGCCAGATTATTTATTATGCGTTCAGAGATCATAATAATCTGGCCACTCAGTGTACATGTATATTTTTTGCTGGGAGGAAAATTCAGTGTATTCAAAAGACAGAGATCGTCATCACAAGGACCATGTTAACATCTGTCGACTTAATCAAACATTCAAACCTGTAAAAATGTTATGAGTTTATTCAAGCCAAACTGACAACAGTTGCCGGGAAACAAAATCTCAGCGGATTGAGAAAATGCTCCAGAAAATGGCAGTTTTGCATCTTATTTTATACATCAGAATCAAAGGGGAAGATACGGAGTTACATGAAATCATTAGAAATAAGGCGAGCCTCCAAAATCAGGAGTCCTGGTAGAATACAAAGCACACTCGGGAGCCAACAGCAAGCAAATATCGTTACTCCTGCAGGAGGGAGGCACACACATGGTCAGGGAGCACACGCACACTAAACGGGCGGTCAGCTCGGGCTTTTATTCCTGATGCATGTGATCTGTCTCTCCTTATTTGGAAGATCTTAGGCTCCCAGTCTTGTGCAATCATCACCTTGATTTGACAGTTGTCAAGATTTTAAACAAATTATAGAAGTCATAATATCTTACCACTAAATGGCATGCATGTCAAAAAAAAAAAACCAATGACAATCACAATTCTGTTATCTTGAGTATATAAAAATAATTCTTTTAAAAAATATAATTTATATTGATTTTTAGAGAGAGAGGAAGAGAGAAACATGGATGTGAGAGCAAAACATCAATTGGCTGCCTCCTGCATGCCCCCTACCGAGGATCAATCCCAAAATCTAGGCATATGCCTTATCCAGGAATTAAACCAGCAACCTTTCTATTCACAAGATGATGCCCAAACAACTGAACCATGTTGTTCTGGGCTAAAATATATTTTTTTTTAAAAAGTATTTTTTATTGATTTCAGAGAGGAAGGGAGGGGGCGGAGAGAGAGAGATAGAAACATCAAGGATGTGAGAATCATTAATCTGCTGCCTCCTGCACATCCCACATTGGAGATCAAGACACAACCTTGGCATGTGCCCTGACGAGGAATCAAACATGACCTGCTGGTTCATAGATTAACAATTAACCTCTGAGCCATGCCGGCCGGGCTAAAATATAATTGTTACTGTCATCTAGTTCCAAGTCCAAATTCAAACTTCTGCCATTATGGCAAGAATCTGTAAGCCCAGCTTGATAACCGTGAGTGCTTTCTCCGGGGAGAGGTGGTGAGCTGGGTGGAGGAATCTGATTGTTGTGCCCATTGGGGATATGACCTGCCATTTGAGGAACGGAATCCTTGCTTTCCCAGCCCTTGTTTTTCCGTCTGGGTTCTGAGCCGGCTCACGTAGCTGATCTCTCATCCCCGAGCCACTTCCCCAGGCTGAGTGCATCGCTTCCTGTTTGGGCTTGTGTGACTGTCGCCTTAGGAGAGGTCTCCTGGGTGGAAAGCCCCTTTTCTGGGGGGCCAGAGGCCACAGATGGCATCAGGTGAGGGTTCTTGGTGGCTCAAGGGCCCTTTCAAGAATATGGAGTTTTTAGGAACAAATAAATCTGTCTCCTTCCAACCTGTACTTAACCAGAGGTCACCAAATGGTGGTCCATGGCTGGATTCAGTGCCAGGTAGTCTGGTGTGCACCATAGCACAATGGAAGAGAATTGGGGGATTCCACACAAAAAACTCCAGATTTCCAGCTTATTAAGTCACAATCCAGGACTGCTGACTCCCAACTGCTCACTTGCCTGCCTTCCTGATTGCCCCTAACTGCTTCTTCC